TTATTATAAATTATATATTAGAATAATGAAAAGAACTTAGATTTTTGAATATTTACAAATACATACTCTCATTGGAACAAAAACAGTGAATCTTTCTGGTAAATGAAAAACAGTATAATTACTATGTTGCAGAATATAGGGAATTTTCATAGGGAAAAGCAAAAGATCCTTTACTTAATTTCTTTTTATCACATAATTACATGGGAAAAAACTGACTTTCAAATAATTTAGTGTAAACACATGTGTTAACTATTTAAGGAAAAAATAAATAATGATACAATAGAGTCCATTTTTCTCATGGTATTTTACATTGCCTAGAATGTGAAACCACCAAGCGACCCATTTAGCTTCTAGAATGGTATTTCATATGTGACACAAATGTGGTTCAGGAGGAATTAAAACTAAGATATACAATTAATTGTGTGTAACTTAAGTGATGCCTTTCGGTGAAAATGTATCATTAAAGGCTTAAAGTGAATTTATTTTTGTTGGCCATGAAGGATAGATCAGCAAAGAACGTTCCTGCTTTTTTGGTTCAAATAAATCTTCTGCCTTTGCTTCTTAATTGCATCAGTGTAATCAGATGTTTGTCGCGTGATGAATTTCATGTGCTTACCTTTGCTTCAATCTGTTTAGTATCTGGATTCTGAAACAAAAATTTGATTTTGCTCTTGCCATCATCTGAAGAACCCTTAAGCTGAGAAAATTTATACCTCCACAGTACAGCCTGAAAGATAAAAGAGAAACGTATGCAAGTCAGTGTAATGAATATCTGTACTTAATCCAAGAAAAAGTTTTTAAATTGTGAAAGTTAATCATATAAATGCAGAACTACGTCAGTATTAAAATGTAAATGAAAGCCAGGTGTGGTGGCACACACCTGTCATTCCAGCACTGAGGAGACTGAGGCAGGAGGATCACTGCAAGTTCGAGGCCAGCCTGGGCTCCATAGTGAGTTCGAGGCCAGCCTGGACTACACAGCAAGATCTTGTCTCAAAGAAAGTGTAAATGAAAACATATTTCTTGAAGGCTATATTTTAATATTGAATATATTCTTTAATTTTCAGAAATAATTTTTGTACCCATGAAATTTTTATTGCAAAAGTATAGAGAAGTAAATAAGTTTTCAGTCTCGTATCACATTTCAGTGGGAATTAATTGTGCTTTTGATTTGAATCAGTAAAAGTGATGAAATTTTTGAATCAATAATTCTGGAACTTTCTCTTGAAACTAAAAGTAATGACCTGTAGCTTTTTGAGATGACATATTAGTTGAATAAATGTTTGGGCCTGGGGGTATAGCTCAGTGGTGCAGTGATTTTCTAGCATTCATAAGGCCATCTGCTTAGTCCCAACTCTGCAAATGATACAAACATATATAACTATATATATGTATTATAAAGATGTGTATGATGCTTTCATGTAACTGAACAAGAACAAGCATTTTATAGAGTCCTCAAAGTCTCTTTCTGAAATACAGTATCTTACAAATATAATTCTCTTTAGCTCAAAGTAACAAAAATCTGTGCATTTTCAAGTAGAAAAATACTGATACAAAGGATTAAATTGGAAAGAAGTAGACATCTTGCATTATGGTTTCTTATATTTTCTGTACTGTAAGTCTTATTGACTAACAGTAAATTAGTGCTTTGCTCTTTGGCACATGGAGGTATAACTATGCATGCTTGGTGTAAAAATGCCAGTCACATAAATCATTAAAGGCAAAATGGTGAGGGGTTCAAATACAGTCATACACCATGCGGTTTTGGGATTTTGCTGTTATTTTTTAAAAATATTTTCATTAGGGTATGTTTGCAGTACGTAATAATTACATTCCTCATGGGGAGCTTGTGATTTAAATTCAAGAAAGGGAACCAGGAAAAGCAGGAGGAGCACAGGGAGCAGAATGGGAAGTGAACGAATAAACAATTAAGATGTGTTGTGAACATGTTCCAACCCCCTGCAAGAAATATAATCATTATGTACCACGAACATTTACCAATAAAAATAAAAAGAGCAAAACAAAAGACAATAAATATATCTTAATGTGACTTTGACCCAATGTATGATGTAAAGAAATACATTCAACAAATTATATTTCATTAAAGATGGTTTCTAGTGGTTTCTAAACAGATCAAAAAACATAACTGATCTATTTGAATTTTTCCTAGGGCAGTCCTGATTAAACTATTTTCTCCGATAACACTGTAAAGAAATAAAGAGTAAAATATGCGTCTCGCATTTTTTCAGAAAAATATTTGACAAAAATATATATAAATAAGCAAATATGCTTGTGTGATTATATTCACTTTGACTCATAAAAAGTAAGTTACAGTTAAACATATGAAAAGGAATTTGATTGTTTTTGACCCTTGAAATCTGCATTTCTTAAAGCTTTAAATTCTTTAGATTGTCAAATGAGAAAGCACTGTCTCCTCACCCAGCAAAATAAACAAGAATGCTTCGTAAAATGCTTGTTTTTTAAATGGATCTCATCCTGGCCTGAGGAAAATAAGATTAGTAAAGTTTGCAAAGGATCCACTTAACGTGAAATGAAAATGGGCAAGGAAACTTTTATCTCCAGTCAGCAGTTGCATACAGTGTGAATTCATACACAGGAATTTTCCTCATGGTAAGATTTCCAGTGTAGCTACTCAGGTTTATGATAAACAGACATTACAAGTGGTCTCTGTTTGGGAACATGGGGTAGCTTTAATGTTAGGAAACATAATGTCTAACATTCAGACTGAGTTGCACACATTATTAATTTTGAGACAGTTCAAATCTGGATTTTTTCCCCCTCTTGTTTGTTTTGCAGTTCATTCCCAAAATAATCACCATAAAAGCCAACATCATGAAGATTTTCCCCTAACATTCCTTAAGTTTTATAAATTTTTATTAGTATACATTTGCTGTAGAAGTTTAAATCCCTTGTGTAGAGTTGGCACTTATATGTAACACATTTTAATACCTTGTTTCACTCCATTTCCTTCTTCTCCTGCCTCCACCCCTCCATCGCTAGAGTTTTAATTCTTAGATTTAGATCTCTGACACATTTTGTGTGATTTTTGATAAGGTAAATGTCCAGCCTCATTCCTTGAACATGAGCATTAAATTTTAGTAATATCATTAGCTGAAAGACTTTTCATAGCTCATTGAATGGTTTTGGTACCCTTGCTGAAAATGATTTGACATACATGTAAAGATCACATCCTGTGATCTCTAGTCTACCCAATGATCTGTTATGGGGACAATTTTGGTTATTACAGGTCTATAGTAAATATTGAAATCAGAAATCTAATGTATCTAACGATCTTTTTCAACATTTCTTTAGCTATATAGGATCTTTTGGGATTTTACAAGATCTTTAGCAAGAATTTTTCTATTTCTTCAAAAACGTCAATGAAATTTTAATAGGGATTACATTGAATGTATGCATTTCATTTGGTTATGTTTTCATCTTAGCAATATTAAGTATTTCTATCCATGAATACAAAATGTGTACCATTTATATTAAGCTTATACTTAGGAATTTTATTTTTGATACTTTTTTTTGTCAAAGAATTTGTCAAAGTCCTTTCTAGATTATCATTGTTAGTGTATAGAAACTCACCTGATATATGTGTGTGGATTTTGCATACCACAACTTTTTGAAACTAGTTTTTAGCTCTGTTTGTCTGTCTCTGTGTGTGAATGTGTCTGTGGGTTGTCTACAGGTCAATGTCATTTTTAAACAGAAATAATATCACTGCTTATTTTGTGCTGATTCCCTGTGCCTAATGTTTTTAATGCCATGTTACCCAGAAATGAAGATGTCTTCACCATATTCTGATTTAAGGGACACCTTTAAATCTTTACCTATTGAGTCTGATATTACCTGTGGGTTTTCCATATATTTTACTGCTGTATTAACAAGGGTTGATGCATTTTGTCAAAATCTTTTCTGCATTAACTGATTACATGTTTGTTAATCTTCATTCTAACAATGTGATATATAATGTTAACTGATTGGAAGATGTTGAAACTTTCTTGCATTCTGAGAATACATACTTCTAATAAATTTGGTCAGTTTCTGAAAACTATTTCTAATATTTGGAGGAATTTGTCATTAATATTCATAAGGAATATTTGTTTATTGTTTGACATTTTTTTTGTGTACTGACTTTGCCTGACTTTGGTGTTAAAGTAATTTCAAATGATTCTCAGAATGAGTTAGAAAGTGTTCTTACCTCTAGGTGTTTTGTAATATTTGGGAATTACAGTTGTTAATATTTTCTAAATGTTTGGCGGCATTCACAAGTTAAATCATGATGGAAGCTTTACTTTATTGGGAGATTTATGACTATAGATTCAACCTTCTTAATTTGTTTTTGCTTCTAGTAGGATAATGTTTCTAGAAATTCCATCATTTCACTTATGTTACTGAAATTGCTGGAGTACAATTCTTCATAATCCATTTATTCTGCAATGTTTTCCTCATAGCTCTTCTGTCTTCCTTGCTTCCAAGTTTTCGCAATAATATGTAAAAGTGCTCTTACACATAAAAGCACTCTAAACAGAGAGATAGAGAGATAGAGAGATGATAGACAGATGCAAGTTTTTGTGAGGACAAAAGTGTTCAGCATCTTTAAGTCTTAAGTAAACACTAAAGAGTGTTAATGTTTTACCATGTAGTAAAAGTGTGATTAACTATGTAGGAAATCACAAACTTGCCTTGCATAGTATCAATGTTATTTTGTCCTCTTAGAACAGTGAGAGATCCGGTGCCTCCCCATCTTTGCCTGCATTCAGAGTTTCCATGTTTACAGTTCTAGACATTCTAGTAGTGTATAGAGGCTTCTCTGTTCTGCTTTAATTTACACCTCCCTCAAGACCCATGCTGTAGAGCATTGTGTTATGTATTTTATTTTCAGACTTTTATCTTCTTTGGTTTGAAGTCTGGCCCATTTTAAAAACTCAGGCTATTTTCTTATTGTTGAGTTTTGAGTGGTCTTTGTGTATTTTACTTTACATGAAATGATTTTGCTAGTATTTTCTCTTACCTGTGGCTTTTCTTTTCATTCTCTTGACACCAAAGTCAAGCTTATGAATCATTTCTTTGATGAATTGTGTGAATTGTGCCTTAGACGCTGGGTTCCTATCTAAACCCATAGTCACTTAGTTCTCTCTGTTATCTACTAGTTGTCACATAGTTTTTCACCTTACATATCATCCTTGTGATCCTTCTTAAATTAATTTTTGTGGAGAGTGTGAGGTCTGTGAAATGATTCATTTTACTGCATGTGGATGTCTTCTTATTCCAGGATCATTTATTTAAAAGATTATATGTTCTCAGGCGCATTGTCTTTGGTCTGGTATCAAAGATCATTTGATTCTATTTATGTGTGTCTATTTTTGTGCCCTGTAATCTGTTCCACTGATCTATTTTTTTTATTTCAAAAATACCACACTGAATTATCTCCCTTTTAGCTAAGTTTGCATGAAATTCTTTCTGCACCATTTTTCTTTCAAACCATCTGTAGAGCTTTACAATAAATATTAGAGTCAACTAAGTCAGTTCACCAAATTTCTTTCTTTCCTTTTTTTTGTATCGGGAATTGAACTCGCAACCTCACTCTTGCTAAGCAGGCGCTTGTGCCACTGAGCTATAACCTAGGCCCTCAAATTTCTTTCTTTAGTTTTATTCTGGGTCTTTTGCCTCTGTAGAAATAGTAAAATCAGTTTTTCT